AGGTCCAAGAGTAGGTGGGATGTACTGGGATCCATCACCTGTGATGTGAACTGGACCCTCTCCATCACCCTGCCATGTGCATCCTGAGATCTTGTCTCAAATGTGCTCTCCCTGAGAAGTTCAGTGATCACGGAAGGGAAACGGGGACTTTGAAAGAGGTGGGGACATGGCCTGTGATGTCCTGCTGACCCCATTCCTCTTGGTGGGTCCGAGTTTTAAGCAGTGTCCCAATGCAAGCTGAAGCCAGCAGGAACCTTTTTTTCCCCAGTGTGTTTGTTCCCAGGCCCCTGTTTGTTCCTTGTGAAAGTTGTTCCATTTTTCTTTCTTTGTTCTGTTGCTTAGCATTGCAAAAGAGGGTCTGCAGAGATTTCTGCCATCTCAAAAAGGAGTCTGATGGAGTAAACACAGAAGCTGCAATGAATATGTATTATTGCAAATATTGAAGAAGCCAATGTCCCCCTTCTTAATAGATGTTATTTCTCATTCTTTGAACAAGTCCATCGGTGATGGCGGGCAGATAGTCCGCTTCTGGAATCTCTCTCTCCTTGTGTTGTTACATGATTTATAACATCACACAAGGAACAGGATTTGTCACCACTGTCTGTGTGACGGACAGCTGAATCCCCCTGTAGAGAGGACTCTGGGAAAGTGGTTTTTGGGGCTCGAGACATTTTTTTTCATTTTGTTATGATTTTTCATTCATCACTTCCTGCCAGTTTCTCTGATGCTCTCGTTTGCCATAGATCTGTGATGTAAAGCAGTCAGAGTGTTCATATACTGAACCCAACATCTCTTGCATCTACCTGCCTGCCGCATCTGTTTCTCATTCTACCAAACAGCTTGAGCCCAGTTTTATGATACTTGAAATGAACGGATTTGCCAATGGTAATGCGCTGCCAGTGTCATCAGTTTTGACGAGTGGAGGATGTGTGTATTAAGCAGAGATATTTTCAGTGTTTATGGTGTGGACAGTGGTGGGAGAAATGAGGCTGTGTGTCTCTCTGCCTGTGCCTCTTGTTCTTGGTTGCTGAATTTGTGTGATGATTAATGTCTAAAGAACAAATTTTACCCACCATCAGTGGCTGTGGTACAAACTTAGCTAATTAACCTTTGGCATGTGGTTGGCAGGTGCCCATCATCCCAGGAGTGATGGCTGCACTTTTGAACCTTTGCTTTCCAGCCTCTCCAGCCCACTGTGCATCCCCCCCCCCCCCCCCCCCGCGGCGGGGCCCTGCCCCGGGGGCAAACGATATTTAACCCCCGCCCCCCCCCCCCCCCCCCCCCCCCCCTCCAGGCCAGGCGCTCGTTCCCTGGGTGAGAAATGATTTCACATCTTGCAAAATTAATTCTCTGCTCATGATGGCCTCGATTGTTTAAACAGATTGGCAAACTGTGCTAAAGGTGGCAAAACAGCTCTGACATGCAGACGTCTTCTCCTCCTGAAAGGAAAGGCAAAAAACCGTGGGCTGTTGCTGTTAGGAAATGCAGGTGGCTGTGGGCTGTTTTCTGCAAAAGCAGCAAAAATTCTTCATGTTAGGAACAGTGTCTGTAAAGTTAACCTGGTTGAAACAATGGTAGATGTCATTATTAGCACTAGAACTAGATTAGCTTGAAATAGATAAGGTTTGTTCATGCACAGCTGGATAGACTGTACTGATGCTCCAGCAGTTTGGAGATGGATATGCTATAGGTGCGTGGGGAAAGCCTGGCGTCCTGCCTCTGCCAAGATATATCCATAACCAAGCAGAGAACAAGGCTGCTTGGGCTCCAGCTGTGGTTCTTTAAGCCTCTGAAAATTTGCAGACAAACTCCAAATATGCACAAAGCTCATTTTCAGTCAAGTTTTAATTTTTTTAATGGATATTCTAATTATTTACCCAATTCATCAAAAACCTTTTGTATCCTTTTGAATCTTATTTTGCAGATATTTAATTAGAAGTGGTGTTGACAAAAAAGATATTTGCGCCATTAATGTGTTTTTGACTTGCATGTTGACGGTCTGGAAACTTTCTTGTAAATCCAGCATCTATTCATGGTGTGTCACCCGCTGCCTTCGTGCGCGCTTTCTGCGCCTGGAAGAAGGGTGGCATTTTTGGTTTGGGTTTTTTTGGCTTTGCTTACCTTGCTGCCTGCATAGAAAGCTTCAAGCAGAAGTTAATCTTTTTTTTTTTTGAAGAAATAAGCTGGGAAAAGTCCTTTTGGATCATGCAGATGAAAAAATCTTGGTGGCCTTCCTTCTCAGCCTTGATGCAGTGGACATGGGGAAGACTTGTGATGAGGAAGAAATTGGGCTAGTGTCCTGCTCTTGAGCTGACTGTCTGTCGTCTTCTCATCCCAGGGATCCTGAGAAGAGCAGAAGGTAAGATACCATGAGATGTTCTCGGAGGACAGATCTCTTCATGGTTGAGTTAGGATTGGGGTCAAATCATGTCAAAGAGCGGGTTTGGGACTGAAGGCACAGCATGGACATCTTGGGCTTTTTCCTGTGCAAGAGGGCAGGGCTGAAGAGTGTGAAGATGCTGGATAGATAGATAGATGGAGGAGGAGAATTTTTGGAAGAGTTTTTGTCCCAGACACAAAACATGTCTTGGCTGTCAGTAGTTCAAGGTGGCAACCCTGATCTCCTTCTACAGCAGTCATTCCAAAACACTAGGCTGTGTCGAGTCAAAACAAGAACCGCAACAAGATAAATAGGTGAACACGCTGTATTTGCTGCACTGAATTAACATAAAATGAGTATGGGAAGGGCTCTAAGTGCATTTATTGAGGTGGGAGCCAGCAGAGAGGAGCAGAGCTGAATTTGCAAACGCTCTTTTCCCGTGGACTCCTGGGCTGTCCAGCCAGGCGCGCTCGCACTGATTTACTGCTGTCCTTCCTTCAGCCTTTGAAAATCAATCCATTAACAATTAAAGTAATGTCTAGTCTGTCTAGTATTTATTTCACACTCTCTCGTTAATGGACTGACCAAAGAAAACTTTTTCAAGCACCGAGACTGTTGTATTTCACAAGAGGGCTGTATCTCTGGGTCATGCTTTTTCCCTTGTTCCCTGTTAGAGCTGAGATCTGCTCTTATGGAAGCATTCAGGAAAATTACCGTGCATTACCATACTATACTGTTACATTTCTTGTAAAGAAGGTGCAGCTTCTGTGCTAAATGTCCCCAGATATCCATTAAAGCAGAACTAGAGCAGAAGGGGCTAGCCCTGAATGTGTCTGCTGGGCCCAAGCAGCTCTGCCTTGGGCTGGCTCTGGGCTCTGGAAGAGAAGCAGCATTTGCTGCCTAAGAACTTATTTTCCTTTTCTCCATCTCCTGGGAAAGAGCAATGTGCCCCAAATTGGATCGCACCTGTGTGTCTGCTTGTGTCCCCAGCACAAACTGTTGGAAAATGGCTTTTTTGGGGAAACACCAGAGATGGCCAGAGGCACCGGGCCATGAGGCTCTCATTCTCAGCAGTCGATTTTTCCCCCCCCAATCTGGGATCAAGCTGGGGATGGACCCCAAAGACCTCTTTGCACCCTGTTTGGGGGGGTGGCATAGCTGGGGGGCTCTGCAGTTCTTGGGCACTGGGTCTATCAGGGTCAGTGCCCCATGGCCAGACTGGGGAGGGCAGGGACCTGGGGGGTCTGCATGGATCACCCACCCTAAGGTAATGAATTTACCACCGCAGCTTCTTAAAATAAATGTTCTGCTCTAACTCTGATCTGAAATGCAGGATGTTTTGGGTTACAAAAATGACCTTTAGCAAGTGCCACTATAAGAACACTCAAGAACGACAATTTTCTCCCCCCTCGGTTCTCAGTCCTCCTTGTATTTTTGCCAGTTTCTAGGTCAAATCCCCCATTCCGCTTCTCCTGCGCTAGCCCGGCGTTCAGGTTGCACAATTGCAGAGGAGGGAGGAATTCGCTTCCCGAAGCCGGATCTCCCCAGCACCCCGCTCCTGCCCTTCTCCCCAGCGGCGCTGGGGGGGGCCACCCCAGGGAGGCTGCTGCTCCCCTCCGCAGCCGGGGGCTGCCGCAGGGCTTGGGGGAGGTGAACGGGGCTGGACCCCCCCTCCCCGCCCCGGGGGGAGGACACTGCCCTGGGGCTCGCAGGTGTGGGCTCGCTTTCCATTTGGTGCCTTAGGTTATTTATTATCCTCCCCCTTTTCCCTCCTTCCCCCCCCTCGCTTTTCTCTTACGCAGTGGGAGAAGCCAGGCAGCCGGGGCTGGCTCTGCCCAGCCGCCGTCCGTCCTCCCTCCCTCTCCCCATCCCTCCCTTTTCGTTAAAAACGTGGGCTCCGGGGTGCAGCCCCCTGCGCTGGCAGCATCCCTACCTGCGAGGAGCAGCCCCTTAAACCGCCCCCTCCACCGCCTGCCTCCGGAGCGGAGCCCCCGGCCGTGCCCGCAGCCCGGCCCTGT